GTGTCATGGAGCCAGAGCTCCGCGTTCTGACGTGCAGAGAGAGGTGTGCCGACACAGACGACAAGACACTCCCTGGTCATTTCATTAGGAGCAGTCCCCTCCCCCCCGAGGAAGCCTGAGGTCCCCTATAGTGCCGCAGGGTTCCTGTGTTGCCCGCCAGCTACCCCGCCTTTCAGAGATGCCCCCGGGCTTGTTCCCCTCCCCAGCCCTGCGCCTCTGACTCCTCCTCTCCCGTTCCGAGCAGGGCTCCACAACCCCAGCCCCTGCCAGGACAAGCCCTGCGGCTTCGGCGCGGCGTGCGTGGTGAGGAACGGGGAGCCGGTGTGCGAGTGCCCGGACGCCTGCCCCAAGGTGCACGACCCCGTGTGCGGCGACGACGAGCACACCTACGGCAGCCAGTGCGAGATGAAGGCCATGGGCTGTGTCCTGCAGAGGGAGATCCGGATCCGGCACAAGGGGCCCTGCGGTGAGTGAGTGACCCCCTCGTCCCCTTCAGACCGCCCTGCGCTGGCACGGTGGGCTGCTGTCTGGGCCGGGCGCGGCGGAGCCCAGCGACAGAACTGTCCGGTGAGCAGGACCGGCACCTGTCGGCCTGCAGCTCCGCGCCTGGCACCTGCTCACCAGCTCACCTGCGCCGCAGTCTCCACACCCTGGCTATACAAAACACACAAGCACTAGACATCCTCAGCGTCTGAAAGACGTGCCTTTTCCCTAAACCAGCCCGCTGTGTCCAGTGTGTCCAGCTGACTCCTAGCACAAACACTCCGTTAAGGAGGTTTTTTTCTAAGTGGGCCGTGAGTCATGGTCATTCAGTTTATCCCCGGAGCCCCAGGCCTTTATTTTCTGTCCCAGCTGGACTTGATGGGCAGTGTTAGACACTGTGACAATGATGCTGAGCAGGAGCCTTAAGGTCCAGGAGCCATTAGAAAAAAGAGGTTGACTTCTGCAGCTGGTTAAACGTGTTTCTGAGGTTGAAATCAGCAGGTGAGAGAGACAAGCACAGCTGACAATGTGGAACCAGGGTACAGAGCCCTGCTGTGCTGCCTTTCAGAGTCTTTCAGAAACCAGGTGCTGCGGTTTGATTTATCACCCAGGGCTGCTGCTCTGGGAGTCCACCTGCGCCTCTTCAGCCCCACGCTCAGGTGAGGCACAGAGTAAGGAGCAGCAACAGCAGGCCTAGCTGCTCAGATGTGGTGGCTGTGTCGCTTGACATTAACCTGGCTTTAGCCTGGCAGAAGGCTTTGATGCTGCGCCTGTGTGAGGTCAGAAAGAAGAGAATTTGTTTTCTTTTCGGTGTCTCCTTTCCTAGTGATGTTGCTGTGTGTTGTTCAAGGCAGGAAGTATAGACACACAAACACAGAGGTGTCCTTGGAATCGATGTTGGGGGCCCGGGGCCCACATCAAGAGATCTTCTTTCTCAACCGGAGGTCGTTTCTCTAGTTCGGTTTCGTGTACACATGTGAAAAGCAGCCAGTGGAGGTGGAGATTAGGCAGCTGTTGGTAAATCAGTGAATTGCTTTTCATGTTGTCGTTACTCCAAAGCCAAGAGGCAAGATATCACTCAAGGGGCTCATTGTAATTCAGTGGCTCTTGCGTGTCCAGTGCTTCATTACCTATCCGAGATACAGGATTCCAGAGCCATTATCCCAGCGTGCAGTAACTCCATCAGCTCCTTCCCATTCTGTTCCACGCGGCTCTGCCGGAAAATAAATGTTTATGGAAATGATACAAGCTCATTGCCGGGCAGATTGAATGTCGGCGCACTGGCTGCAAGATAATGAGGCTGGCAAGCCCTTATTGTGTCTTTGACCCGGCGGGGGCTGCGGTGGGGGTTACAGACGCCACCTGCCCACACGTGGTGAGCGCTGACAGCTTTTCCGAATTACCGGGGTTATTCATTCGTGTGTCGAGCCGACGCCGTGGCAGAAGGCAGCTTGCATTCGAGGCACGATGACAGCGCCGTAGCAGGGGGCGCAGAGCAGAGGTGCTGCACGGAGGAGCCGCTCGGCAGGGCCACGCGAGATCAGCTGTTACAGCCAGCGCGCTGGAGGGCGCTTGACTTCATTAGTGTTCAGTTAGTCGTTTTCCTATCACGTAACCTGCCGCGGCGGCTTCATTCCAGGAAGAGTGAGTGAATCCCAGAGCACAAAGGGAAACTCGGGATCTGTGTGGAGTGACTCGGGAAATGCACGGAAAGACGGGAGAATAAGGGCTGTTCTGGAATCCCCACACAGGAGAACAGTGACCGAATTTGGGGAAACTGGTTCGGGATAGGCGCAGGATTTTTAAAGTCCACAGCAGTGTGGATATGATCACTGTTCCTGAGGCTCATATCGGCAGAACCGAGCCATAAGCCAACGGACCTCAGACCAGCTGGCCGACCCGCCATGACCCTGAAACCCACTCACTACCGGCCCACT